GAAATGATGGCATAAATGGAGAGTTGTTAAAAAAAGGAGAAAACCTTTTACATCAAAAATTGTATGACATCATTCTGAGAGTATGGCAACAACAGAAAATGCTGGAGAATGGAATGGAAGCGTCATAATTCCCATATATAAGAGAGGAAACAAAGAACAATTCCGAAACTATAGAGGCATATCGCTCATTAGCACATCATATACAGTGCTATCAATTATCAAGAGACTCACACAATATTCGGAAGATATTCTAGGTGACTACCAATACGGCTTTCGTGCTGGAAGGTCAACTATAGATCAGATATTTACCATCCGACAAATATTAGAGAAAAACTGGAAATTCAACCGTGATGTGCTCCAAATTTTCATAAATTTCCAGCAAGCATATAATTCCATAAAACAAGAAAATTGTGGATAGCAATGTTAGAAATGGGAATACCAAGAAAATTAGTTGAATTAACGCAAATGTGCGTGACAGACTCGTATACTCAAGTAAAGATAGGAAGCAGAACATCGATGGCATTTGGTATAAATCAAGCCGTAAAATGTCGTTTGAACTGACAGGAGGATTTGCTGATCAAGGATCAAAACTGTTACTGGTCTTTGCTGATGATATAGATGCAGTCTCGCATTCTACAAGAGACGTGAGAGAGGTGTTTTCACAGCTCGAGGAGAAAACAAGTAGTCTGGGTCTCAGAATAAATAAAGAAAAGACAAAATACATGGTAGTAATCAGAAATCCAGGACCAAGAGTTAGGCAAAACATAAGTATTCATGATCACAACTTCGAAGTAGTAAAGGAGTTTAAAAACAAATTCTTACGTATGTTTAGATTTTAATGAAGTATCTGGTTGGAGATTAGTTTTTAGTGTTCCTTCTGATTATTCTTTAAAATCATCATTAGTAATACCTATTATTAAAATAGCACTTTTGTATCTATATAAAAATAATATTCAGTAATTTTGTTGTGTTGAATTCCATTTTTACTAAGTTTAAAAACCCGTGGGACTGCCGTCGCTCTCTTCGGTAATATCGTTGGTAATTACCAGGACAGTCGACGTAATACTCTTATTTACGTATTGTATTTTACCTATCTGGCTTTAAGTAATTATTGTAATTGATATAAAGTTTGACAAATTATTTGTCAATAAACGAGAACCGAAATAAAAATCACATGTAATAACACTAAGCGGCGAAGTTTTTCGTAACGATATCCACTTGACGAGAAATTATAGCTACACGAACTGGTAGTTGTGGGTATTCGATTGAGCTCATTAAACATTTATAAAAATGATTTCAAACATGAATCTGCATCTATTAGTTTTCTTTTTGTATAATCAAAAACTTTTCCTAATTTTTATGTTCATTTCAAATCTACTACAAAGTTTTATGAGCAAGGCAGGATTTTAAAAGTTGTTTCTGATGAACTTGGAGGACAACTGTAAAAGATGATGACAAAAAAACTTTTATATCAACAAATAAACAAATAATAACCTTAATTAACTTGCTGTCTTTTTATATAAAAAGGAAGGATATGGAATTTCATCTTATCAAAAGATCAAATATTTATTGATTTCACAACACAGCACTCAGAATATGTCTGGGAGCCGTTTTGTACAATACCGATTGAAAGTTCATTTTGCGAAGCAAATAAATTATCGTTAAATGATAAAAGAGCGTACCTGAGTCTAACGTATGCAACAAAAATTAAGAATAATACAAAAAATCCTGTCTATAGAAATACTTTTATTGATAATTTCCAAAACCTCAATGCAAATCACTTCTGTTAAACCTTTCTATAAAAGAATAAAGACCATTTGCATATGTTTGATATTGTCATACCTGAATGTCTTCCATACACATATGACCATAATCCACCTTGGATTCAAAACATCCCATTATATAACTTTGAACTTGCGTCATTTGACAAAAACTCCAATAATCATGATTTAATTATTTCCCATTTTAGGAAAATCCCACAAAATTTACAACTCATTAAATTCACCAGAAAAACACTCTCCACTGCCCCTAAAATCTTAGTGAATAACCACCCTCTCCCAGTCGTCGATCACCGCAAAATTCTAGGACTAAGATTTCCCACTACCAAAGGGGGCGCTAGCGAATGTACACTATTAAAAGTATATAAATCTCTTATTCGCTCTAAACTCGATTACGGCAGCTTTATATATATGTCAGCATCCAAAACATCCTTACAAATCCTTAATTCAGTACATAATACTGCCATCCGCCTCTGTTTAGGAGCTTTTCGTAGCAGTCTAGCTGAGAGCCTCTACTGCGAAGCCAATGAGCCTCCTCTTTGGCTTAGGCGGCAATATCTCCTCCTTTCTTATGCTGCCTCTACTTCAGCTAACCTCTCTAATCCAGTACATGCACTGCTGACATTACCCAACTATACTAATACTCACCCTCCTGCTCCACGCATACACACTATCGCCCTCCTACTTCCAACTTTAATACCACATATAAATTTATCCTTAACTAACCCTCTCCCTAACCCGCAGAATTCTCCTTGGACCAAAACTTCACTGAAGTTTACTAAATAAATACTTACAAAGTTTAGTAAGGCAGAAACCAACCAGGATTTGATTAGGAAACCCTTACTAGAAATTCTTAATTTTAAGAAATTTGATCGGGTCCTCTACACTGACGCATCAAAGAGCAAAACGGGGGTTGGTTGTGCAGTTACTACTACGGAAACAGTCGTGAGTTCATGTCAAATACCTGCCACATGCAGCGTTCACACTGGTGAACTGTATGCTATTTACCAAGCCTTCAAAATTTGCACAGCACCCAATGAACATATTGCCATCTGTACAGATTCCCTTGCCTCTGTCCAGTCCATCAATAATCTATTTACTAATCACCCTTTTGAAGAAAAATCCATAACACTTACCAAAATCTTATCATCGACGACATCCATATCCCTATTATATGGATTCCCTCCCACATAGGGATTAGGGTAACGACATCGCCGATCGCTTTGCCAAAGAAGCTGCTGTATCCAATTGTACACTACGTAAAATACAAATCTCCAGTGACATAAAAACTAGTATAAAGAAACTCGTACGAAATTACTGGCAGAATCATTGGAACCAATCAACTACATTTTTACACCAAATAGATCAAACGATTGAGCAGTTCGTTATCTTTGATATAACTAGAAATGAGATGGTTGTTGCTTGAAGATTGCGTATCGGTCACACCAGATTTCCACATGCTCTCCTTATGAATTCTACACCTAAGCCAATCTGTCACTATTGCCAATCTCCACTAAGCGTTCTACACATCCTTGTGGACTGCCCTCATTATAATAAACGACACCAAGGACTGGGCATGAAGGACGACATCACAGATATATTATCGAACCAGAGCCAAGTCATCACAGCTATCCAGTTCCTGAAGCTAGAAAACTTACTAAATAATATATAACTATAGTATATTATAATATGTAATTGTAACTTATATAGAATTGTATCCACGGTGCCTCGTGCTAATGGCCGAAGCTGTCACAAGCACGTTAAATTAAATAAAAAAAATCCTTAGTCGTTATAAAAATCTTACCCAGATATACACTGATGGTTCAAAATCATACGAAGGTGTGGGACCATCCAGAGAAGGTCCTTAAATTCAAACTATCTAATGTTAGTACTATCTATACAGCTGAACTGTATACTCTCTATCTCTATGGAAAAATAAATGGAATGTGTCGAATTCAAAATTAAAACAAGTGAGAGCCAGCATAGAGACATGAAATGTGTTACCTACATTAAGAAATCAAGAAATAATAGTAACGCCCCTCAGTCTCGGACAAACTAGATTAACGTATGATTACTTAATTAAAAAGTGCAAACCGAGGTGATGTGAAACGTGTAATACGACACTAACAATAATGCACATACGATATGAATGTTCCCTCTACAATCAACAACGAAGTAACAACAAGGTACCAGGAACACTTCTAGAAGCTCTAGGTGCAGACTGTAACTTTAACAATACTATGAATTTCTTGATAGACATTAATAAGTACCACAATATTTAATAAACCAAATTGTAATGCAGTAATTGTACCTAATGTAATACAATAATTTTTCGCTAATGGCTATTTTTGGATGCAATTTTCTAAATAAAAAAAATATATTTATTGATTCTAACATTCTCGTCAGCAAATATGTTTTTACAGATGGTTTACTGTAAAATACAAATTCACAACTTCTGAAACTGACAATTGCATTAACAATTTTTAAATTTTTTTGATTTCTAGTTTCATTATTTGCTCTTGATCTTCTTGATCTATGCTTTCGTTTTCCTTGTTCCTTCTTCTTCCAAGAAGAAACACTTGTAGTGTTTCTTCTGTTTCTGACTTCAAATTTATTTTCCATTTCAATTTCAAAATTTTCTTTACTGTGATGCTTTTTTCTCCTTTCTTGGTATACGTAGTTATCGATAAATTTTACATCATTCTTAATTATTACAATTTTTTTTATGTATTCTGTACTCTTTGTACTATTTTCTCTTTTTTCTTCTGGAATTCCACAGTGGAGATCCAAAAACTCGTTTTACTGTACCAAAAGGATTGGACCTAAACAGTGTTCGTATGGACTTCATCTCATTATCCACATCCACAAACTAATTCAGTTAATAATACTCTTGTTTCCAGGTCAAAACGTCTTCCCATTTCTGTTCGCAATTCCGAGTTAATTTCAGCTCTGAGTCAATACCATCTTCTCGCCCAAATCACGTTATTATCGACGGTATCAATGATCCGTTCGCTGTCCCCAGTAGCAGTAGGATAGTCTGAGAGTTCGCGAGACTAAGACCTCGAAAGCCCTGAAGAAGACACCGAAGAGGATGTCGAAAGCTCGGCGCAATGATAATCGACGCGGTTTAATCCAGAACGAATCAATGTGAGGATGTACTCTACTGATACAATGATGATGAATTTGCCCTTTTTTTTTTAAAGCTTCGTTAAATTTAATCAGTTACCAACATCTGTAAAAAAATGTACTAGTCTCAATAATTTCAAACTGTTACTTAAACAATATATCAAAAATTTATATTGTACTTTCTTTAAATTGTATGTATACTAGGGTTTCTATTTAAATAAAGATCTATCAATCTATCTATCTACTTACCGTGAACTGTTTTTCTCCTGAAGGTCCTATCGTTGGCACTCGATTGTGTATATCCCGTTCGTTATCCCACTTCCACCGATTTTCTATTGTCTTCACGGGACTGATTATGGTCGTAGATACACTAGAATCGGGTCGTATTTCTGTGGTTTTCATTTCTTGTTCACAAAGGCTACCAGGAGACCAAATGTTGTGGGTCCTGGATCGGCCTTTTAGAGACAGGTTCAGAGGTGCATCTTCATCTGAAACAAAATAGAAAATTAAGATAGTCCGTAAAGTATATTCAGATCTTAAAAGTGGCAAGTGGTAAGATGCCAAAAACTGAAGGATAAAAAAAATTGTTAAATTATTTAGGTTAGGTTAGGTTAAACCTTTAGAGGTTCAAGCAGTCTAAATGTCATTATTAGCTTCACGATGGCATTGTTAAAATGCTGCTGAAAACACAAGAAATGGATTATGGCTGTGAGAACTCCTGTGGTTCAACTAGGAAAGCTTTTTAAAAAGTCATAAATTATTTCCAGAATATATTTAGGTCTATACAAAATCAACCTTCCATTCAATAAGACTCAAAACAAACAACTTTCTCAGAAATTTAAATTGTCTAAATCTTTCTGAATCGTATTTACATCAGTTCCAGCTTGAAAGTTGTAGCAAAGTAGAATAGTGCATTAGAAAACAATGTAGCGAAAATAATGACTTAATGACGAATAAGTTGGTAATCGATTTTTATCATTATTATCATCACCCGCCCTTTGCGTTCACTGCTGGACATAGGTCTCCCTCATTTTGTCCATTGTGCTCTGGACATTGGGTTGCACCACAAGTCGTAACAGGCAACACACATTGGTCAAATGTTTTAAGTTTTAAAGAAATTGGTATATCGCTTTTAAAAATGCCTTTCGAGTTTTTCATAGACGGTCTATGCCAGGTTTATTCTTCTTCGTAGTTCGGATGTTTGGTTGTCTCTTGTAATCTTTATTTCGTGTCCAAAGTATACGTATATTGATATTTCGGCTAGGTTCTAGGTTTGTCATGAATTTTGTTTTGGAGATAATTATTTTAAGACCTGTACTGGTACACACTAACTAAAGTTCATGTACATATAGAATAGAATAGAATAGAATAGAATAGAAATATGCTTTATTGTCACTGAAAATTATTGAACAATTTTATGGACAAAGCTAAAAAATAAATCAGTCAAATAGTACAAAAAGTATAAAACAAAAACAAATATAGTAAAAACAGAATAACACAATTTTAAATTAGTAAAATTATTGTATAACCTACATAATTTGTACAGACAACAACAAATGAGACAAATTGTAGCCACTGCTTGAGACACCCAAATGTAATTATAAACAATACTAATTTTGTTTCTTTGTTATACATTAAGAAACTCGTCAACTGAATAATATGGTCTTTCTAAGAGATAGATTTTTGTCACCTTACGAAACTTAATGAAGGATGTTGCGGATTTAATTTCTCTTGGAAGGTGATTATAAAGTTTTTTTGCACTATATAGAATAGAATTCTTTACTAGCTGAGTGGACGGGATCGGCAAATAAACGTTACAATCCGAATTTCTAATGGAGTAGCCATGGTCAGGTCTATCGGGAATAATGTGTAGATGCTTTCGAATCAAACAAACCGTTTCCAAAATAAATAAAGAGGGAAGCGTCAAAATTCCGTGATTTTTGAAGTAGGTCTTGCAATGAGTTGTTTGTTTGAGACCAAATAGATAACGGATTGCTCCTTTTTGCAACTTAAAAATAGTATCAAATTGGGCTGCTGTACTAGAACCCCAAAATGGAAGCCCATATCGAAGATGGGACTCGAACAATGAGAAATATGCCATTTTGACAGAAGATAAATTTAGTTCCTTCGAAACAGATCTTATTGCAAAGCAAGCTGAGGCTAGTTTCTTCCTTAAGGAGTCAGTATGCAAGGACCATTTGAGATCACTGTCAATGAGAATACCTAGAAATTTCACGGAATTTACGATATTGATTTGGCTCTCATTCAAAAGCAAGGGTTTCATGACTCTCTTTATAAGATAATGCTAGAGTCTTATCTACGTTAAAGCTAAGTAAGTTGCGAGTCTGACCAAGCCTTGATTATAAGTAAATCAGCGGTTATAATTGAATGAAGCGTTGAAATATCAGAGCTGCTCCAAGTAATACTGGTATCATCAGCAAATAGAAAAATTTTCCCTTTAATTTTCAAGTATGTGATGTGATTAATGAAAAGTAAAAAAAGAATGGGACCTAATACTGAACCTTGCGGTACTCCACACTCAATATCTTTACAACTAGAGTCGGTGTCATTTATTCTAACCAACTGTTTCCTACCTACCAAGTAAGTTTTGAACCAGTTCAAAGACACACCCCGAATTCCATAGAAAGTTAATTGTTTTAATAGAATGTCGTGATTTACGCAGTCAAAGGCTTTGGAATAGTCGCAGAAAACGGTGGCGGAGGAGAGGTTACTGTTTAGTGATAGATATACATCATGTAACACATAAAATATGGCATCACTAGTGCATTTATTAGACAAAAAGCCGAACTGATTTTGCGATAAAATATTATATTTAAGGAGAAAGGGCATAAGTCGAACTTTTATAAGTCTTTCAATAATTTTAACAAGGTAACAAGGTGTTGGTAACAAGGTAATAGGTCTATAGTTGCAGGCATCAGATTTTTCTCCACCTTTATGAAGAGGAATGACGATGGCAGTCTTTAGGCAGTTAGGGAATGTACCTTTTTCAAGGGAATCATTTACTAGCGAGACCATGACCTCCAAAACATTATGCGGTAGATTTGAGAAAATTTTAATAGATAATCCATCTGTACTACAGGACGATGTGCTTTTTATACTACGAATTGTTGAAATGAGTTCCGTCTTATCAACTGGTCTTAAAAAGAAGGTATCAGCAATGTTTTTTGAATTAGAGAGATAGGAAACTGGATCTTGTTGTGGCGAAATATCTCCTTGAGGTTGTCATCCTTATTGAATGTTCAGACCTTTCTCTGCCAAGTTAAGTTTTTTACGTTTTTTTATTGATTTCGCATTCAAGGTTCAAGATTCTATTCCACAAAATAAACTCGCAAGAACTTAGCACCTCGCCAACCTAACTCTTAGTTTCAATTTTAAATGCCTTATGTATAGCACTCTTCTCATTTTGTTGAAATTTGCTCTAGCCTTTTTTTATTCTGATTTTGATCTCCTGATTATAATCATTTGTGGAGTTAATCATTGTTCCCAGATATGTAAATTGGTCCAGTTGTTCCACGTTGGTTCTCATACTCTTTTCCATACTCCGCTATTCTTTTTTTTTCATACTGCTTTCTTTTGAAGTTGATTCCGCTTTTTTCCGATTTTTTCCAGGTGTATAGAGAAAAATGAGCTCGCCCATCAGTAGATATGCAATGCAACACCGATTTGAAGCAACTTTTCCATAATAGCAACAAATTGGAATTTTATAAGGCCACTATACTACGTTCCACGTTAAGAAAATAACATTGCGGAGATAGGGCCATGTATTTCTTATGGACGATAGAAACGCGGCGTTGCCACGATACACACAAGCACACTTTAGGGTTGTATAATTTGTATTTTCGTTTCCACAAACATGAATTAAATTAATGTTTTTTAACGTAATTGACCAAAAGTGCCCATTCGAAACAAGAGATGAAAAGTAGGGAAAATGATTTTAATTGGATAAATAGTATTTACAAAAGATAATTTAATTTTATCTTATTTTAATTATAGTAACGACAGTTTATTTGTTTTTCGGTGAGAATACGATATGCCATGAATCATAGAAATCAGTAGAAAATATTGACCGCTTGTAATGCGTATATCTAATTACTAATTGCAACTTAAAATAATATGATGTGCGTATGTCAGCTATTGTATGTCGTTCTCTGACTACATAATGATAATAAGGCTTTTATTTAGTCGTTATTCTGACTTTTGCAGTTAAATGTTAATTTCAAAATGAAAATTCAAAAATTAAGCAAAGGGAATATCTTGGACATCCGTGCGAAAGAGAGTGTCTGAGAGTTTTGGCAACACTGATCTCCATAAGCGTAATGTTATTTTCTTAACTTGAAACAAAGAATAGTAACTTTGCTCGTCGCTTGCGACGGGGATCCAATCAATTGTCATCTACAGTCAGTCATTAAATTTTTAAAATAATAGGTAAACTTTTTGCATATATTTTCAAAATAATCTGGTGCATTTCTGACTGACATCACGTTTTATTACTATACCCTATATATTTTGCATTTCTACCGTTTATTTTTTAATATTTCACAATAAAAAAGTATCCGCATAATCAATATTTTTATTTCAGCAAACAACATGCCGAAAATGCAACAGCTTCTTGCAGTTGCAGTGAATATTGACACGCGAAAGAAAAAGTTTCCCCATCCCTAGTCTAGACAATGAATCTGATCCAGTAGCTCACAAAGAGTCAAGTCCTTAATACAAATGTACTAACTATTTCCAAATTATTTTAATATTCTCGAAACCAACCACGTTTCTGCAATATAAAAACAATTACCCCAAAACCTTAATAAATGACATGAAAACGTGGAAATATAAGGACGACAAAAAAAGTACGGTAATTAGATCTTTTAGTTAATGAAGCCGAGACACAACTACTTTTTATACTATTTTAATAATAAAAAATATTTTTATAAAACGTGTCGTCGACTAAATAAAAAATTCCTTTATTAGTGATATCAATCACAAAATATATTCTGAGACAAACTGTCTGGCATTCAAGAAGATATTTTATTTTGTTCCCCATTGGAGACCAATACCACTGGAAAATGTTTACTTCTTGACACTTCTGTGAAACGTACAAGTAAATATGATATTGACTGGGGTAAATGTATTGCTATGCACAGATAGCGCTAAAGCTATGACAGGACATAAATCTGGTCTTGTCAAATTACAAGAAATAATGCCTAATGCCAAATGGAGACATTGTTTTTTACATCGAGAAGCTCTTGCGTCCAAAGCTTTACCTCCTGAAATGGACTGTGTTATGAAAACCATCATTAAAGTTGTAAATTCATGGGTGCTTTATTTGAAAATCTTCTCTATCACACCGAAGTAAGGTGGCTTTCAAGGGGCAACGTCTTAAAAAGAGTATTTCACTTAAGAGCAGATCTTTTAATGTATTTGAAAGATGAGAAGTCCCCCTATGAAAATTAATTTTCCGACATTAATATAATTACAGCCACAGATAAAATTAAGGCGTTTCTAAGAAAAATCGATTTATGGTTGACCTCACTTGGCAAAAAACAACTCGATTCATTCCAGTGCCTTTAGGAAATTATGGAAAATGTATCCAATTACAGTGCTACAAATTTTGAACAAGTTTTTGCTGACATGCATGTTACTTTGCTCAATTTAAATCAACAGCTCTGTGATTATTTCCCCGAAGAAATTCAAAACAGTTACGACAGTTGCAGACGGATACTAAATCTGTTTTTAACCGATTCCTTTCAGCATGTTGAAACACGAATAAACATAAAAGAAAAACTTATTGAAATATCAAGTGATGAAATGTTGAAGCTCCAATTTTTTTCCCAGAACTCGGACCAATTTTGGACCAAAAAGATGCAGGAATACCCCCAGTTGGCGAGTGAAGCTGTAAAATGTTTGGTTCCATTTGTAACATCATATTTGTGTGAGTTATGTTTCTCGTCTATGACTGCCATTAAAACAAGAGTTAGAAATCGTCTCGTACTTGAAATTGATATAATTGTGTGTGTGTATCTCAAATACACAGCCTAGATTTGAAAGATTAGTTTCACAGAAACAGGCGCATAGCTCTCATTAAGATTATAATATTTGACTTTGTTTTACTCTTTTATTTTTACGGACTTTAATATTTGGTTTTATATTTCGTCTGATAATTAATTGTTAATTTCTATTTACGGCGTTGTTAAAATAAAAATACATGAACTAACAAAGTGGTGCTTTTGTCTTATTTTGGAAACTAGTACCTAGTACTAGGTACTAGGGGTCGCCTAGTACCTAAAAACATGAGGTACTAGGCGACACCCTAGTACCTCATGGCGACCACTTTGGGGAACACTGCCATATTAGACCGACTATTTTAGAGGTAATCACAACATATAAGGATCTTGCGGTAATTTTTGACCCTACAGTAAGCTTCAGGGACAACTTTTCTTAAGTTTCTAATAGATCCATTTTAGGTTTCATGAAACGTAGCCTCTCTGAATTTGATAATGTTTATTGTCTCAAAAATCTTTACTGTTCCCACATAAGATCGGCTTTGAATATGGTAGCAATATTTGGTCTCCTCATTATAAATGCTAAAAAACATCTATTAGAAAAACTACAGAAAAATATCTTAAGATTTATTGCTTTTAAATTGAAAATACCTGTAAATGAAATTGAAGATATTGTTTTGCAATCTTTACTTAAATTGTCTACTCTTGAAGAAAAGAAAGGCGCATATTGCTAGATGTAGCATTTATATATAAATTAATACGAGAAGGTATTGATGCTAGTGCTCTTTTGGAAAAGGTTTACTTCCGTATTTCCTGTAGAGACACCAGATCTCAAGACTTATTTTATTTAGAATTTTATAATCCAACTTTAAATAAACCCTTACAGAGAATGTGTAGAAATGCAAATAAATTTAATAGTAATGATTTTTTTCATTTATCACTAAGTACTTTGTACGAAGTACTTAGCACTTCAAATGTGAAATAAGCTCATTCGCTGGCCGTTCTGTATGTAAATTTGTATATAACTGAATCTCTGACGATGAAAGGTTATGCTGAAATAACGTTAGAAGATCATACTGATACGATTCATATGCATATACTTTAGCAAATTATATATATATATATATATATATATATATATATATATATATATATATATTATATATATAGTTAGTTTTAAACAACAATATAATTATCAAACTACAATGTATATAATTGCTTCAATTATTTGTTTTTTGCGTTTTTAAATAAAATTTTATGTCGTTAACGAGGTTAAAATATTCCTGAAAATAGAACACTGCAAACATTTGTTGCTAATGGTAAAGATATGTGTATAATAACTGTTTTGCATATAATTGTTTTGAAGAATTGTTTGATTTGATGTTAGTTATTTGAAACATTCAGACCATCGCCGATTTGTATAATGCTTTTTGATAAAGCAATAGTATCGATGAAATAACGCTGATATTTCTGAAAATACTCATGGAAAACTCGTGTTCTACATTGTAGTTTCCATACCGGATGCTTATATTACTGTGTATGATTGGTATGTCACGAGTAAGAGAAGTAGGCAGATTAAGACCGAAACTCAAAAGGAACCATATCCCTCTTAATAATGGCAGCAATAGAGATGCATGGAGATAGAAACTGCTTCATCCCTACTGAACTCTCGAGTTCTAATATGGAAAAACCAATCCCAAGAATTTCATCGTTCTGTTTACCGAAAACCGACCAATATCAACCGCTACTTGTAAGCCATTTTTTATCACATACCTGTACAAATTAATTCAGTACTTATTCCACTTGTCTTCAAATCGATTCTCTTTTGCGATGATGCAAGTAAATTCGCTGAACTTTCTTCTTTAAATAAGCCCTCATCCAAAATGGCTACCACAAAAATCATATCAATCCACAGGCATCAATTTCTCGCTCATTTTTAACCCAAATAACTTAGACCCTCATCATACGAAAACTTTTCTTCCATACATCAAAGGTTTCTTTGACAATATTGATAAAGTCTTTAAAACAAGAGGAATAAAAACAATATTTACCCTACAACAAAAACTTGCATTTCTTGTCCGATCGATCAAAGACAACATTTCAAATGAACACAATACGGGAAATTTCGTGTGCAGGCTGCCCACAAACTTACATAGGACAAATTAATCGTAAATTCCAAAATAGAATTTATGAACATTTTATTCTTTAAATATTTATTGTTTTGAAAATTCGCCTTTCTGGTAAATTAGTTTCAAATTGGATAATAAACTTTAACCAAATTGATTTTTTGAATTATTGCGTTGAATTATATTGCATACTCCTCTTATATATCATCATTTTCTTCTACTTTATTTTACAAGTATATGTGATACGCCATATAAAAGCCAATGATTGTGATGTGACCACTGAGGGTATATAAAAACCACTGTTAAAGTTTTTAAATCAAAATAAATTCACAATAGATTTATCAAAGACTAAGTAATATGTACGTTATGTATCTAACAAAAACAATTATACTGAAATGATGGAATCTCTTGAGGTAAAATGTTCCAAAAGCAAACAGAGCCTCCATTCTGATTTGCGGGGTCAGTATCACAGCATACAAAAATCTGGATGTGATCCTTGAATCTTGCAAGTCATGCAGGTAAAAGTGTGGAGTTGATCATGGAAATAAGTTTAAAGAATGAGAGTACAAGTTGAAATGGAAAGGGCAAAGTGCAAAAGAAATAGGTGAAATATACAAAATGAGATACGTAGGAAAAAGAAACACTAGGAATGGAGTCGATATAATTGCTGACAGAACAGAAAGATGATAAAGAAGTATTGAATTTAGTGCATGTATCTAGTGTTGATGTTGATTTTATCGTTGCATGTGCGTTCATTGCCTCATAAACAAATCATATTTTTACTACTATCACATGAATAATTCTATAAACAAATTTTTGTAAGATTTAAATAATATTTACAAGACGTTGATAAGAGGAGAAAATGTTTACTAATTATTTTATTACGACAAAAAGTATTTTGATATAAAAAACTTGCTTCTTTTGAGAGTTTAGTGGGATTATGTGCACTAAATTAAAAAAATGAAGCATAAAATGCTAGTTGCATCCATGCAGTCTAAAATCTGGGAAAACAGTTTTGAGAGCTTGAATAACAGCTTCTTCAAAATCAAGCGTGATTGTTATTACTGTAAAATGTCTGATCGCAAGTACAACTTTACTTGCCAAAATATTTTGGATTGACCCCTTTTGCAACGAAAATTACCTTGATCGCATATGCAACGAGCGCATCTGGACCATTTTACGCAGATGACACTGCCATATAAGACCTTTAAATCCTGTTGAACGCTGTAAACAATGAATGCACTGAAAAGTGATTAGTAATCAATGCAAAGAGAACAAAATGATGTTGGTCGGAAAAATTAATATTGAAGATTGAGTACTAAAATTAGATCCTGTAATACTTTAGATATTTGGGTAGCTAATTTAACTGCAGAGTTGAAAGTGATGAGGAAATTTTGTGAAGAATAGAACTTTACGAAAAAGCTTTTGTTTCATCTAGCTGCCGACCGATAAATATAGCATGAACCAGTGGCGGCTCGTGGCTTGAGAGGCAAGGTCGGCAAGGTATTTTTTGTTCCACAGATAGGTATACCGTCCAATAAAGACTTCAATCATCATAGGAAATTTTTTGTTTTCTCGTTTTTCGTTTTTTTTTTGTTTTTTCCTTTAAATTTAGAACCTAAACATGTTTATAAATTAACTCCAGTCTACGTTGTTTGGAAGTAGCAAAATGGGTAATAACGTCATCGTAAAATTTATTAGAGTTTTGAAGAGATTTTAAAAGTTTTTTTTTCTATTGATATTTGAGACAAGCTTAACATTCTCTCTTTTTTCATGGTATTTCGACAATAATTTTTTATTCTTTTGAGGCAAGAGAAATCTCGTTCATTTGAGGCAGACGTTGGTGGTAATGAGAGAATTAATGACAATAATGTTGGATATAGATAAATAAATTTGAATATTTTCTAGAAGTGTCATCTATTGGCTACTTTACTAGTTGAATAATGTATCACTTTCCTTTTTTAGGGTAGTAGCAAATTTACAGTCATAGAGTAAACACGTGTTTCATTTTGTTCATCAAATCTCCATTTTTGTTCCAGAACTTTATAATTTTCTCAATAAATAATTTATTAATTTCGGTAACAGTTTGTTGTAATGAATTGCAATATATAAAATTATACATATCTTGTAACTTATCCCATCTTCCGAAAATATTTGGATCAGCATATAAAACTTTTAATTCATTTTCTAATTTTATTTTATTAAAGAATGATGGATAATTTTTAATCAACCTGTCTAATAAATATCTTGGAAATTCTTTGGCGTAACTTTTAAATTTTAAATCGTCAAAGAGGTCAAAAATTTGCAAATCTTCAAAATTCGAAAAACAAGTATCTATTTGCATAATAATATTGTCCAACATTTCAAAATATAGGTACTCGTTTTTCGAGATCTGTTTCTTTGTCATGCCTTTATTTTTTTGGGGGGGTTCGGAAATATCAAGCGAGTCCAAAACGTCACTGCGTATATACTGGAAATTACTATCATTACGAAAATCTGACTGAGATTTTGCACCAGTTATTCTATTTTTGGAATGAATAATGTCAGTTAACTGATTTTGAACAACATTGAATATCAAATTGGTTTGGGTAAACACTTTCTTAAAAATATTTAAAAGTATGTTAAAAGAGTAATCATTTAATAAAGTTTTCAAACCAATTGCTTTATGGATCGAGATATCATCACTTTCAAAATCGTCACATTCAATAATAAAATCAAAAACTTTCAAAAGCTGTTCACGAAAATCTGCTACAGTGAAAACTACCCGAGATTTAAAATTCCATCGCGTCTGACAAACTGTTGGCATTTTTTTCGAAACAAACCGTTCTAAAACATTAGTCCGTTTAGGCAAGCTTGAGAAAAATGAAGCAAATCCGCTTAAACTGGCAAAAAAAAAGACGACATTCTTTAATTTTCTTACATGTATCTTGCAAAACTAAATTCATTCTATGCGCATGACAATGAGTAAATAAAGCTTGCGGTGCAATAGTTTTAACTTTTGCCTGGAGACCATTTAATTCACCAGACATCACGGCAGCGCCGTTATAAGTGTGCCCTACCAATTTATTTTTGATACCAAAAAATTTTAATTTGTCCTTTAAAACACCAAAAATATGTTCTGCCTTATGGCTTTTACTCACGTCTGTAAAACCTAAAAACCTCTCATAGATATTACCACGTAACGCGTATCGAACAACAATTGACTGCTCTGATTCATCGTGTCCCCTAAAAGATAATTCCTGACAACTTAAAAAATTACAATAACTGCGTGATTATTTTTTACAATTTCGTTATGTTTAATAGCATTTTCACGTTGGGCATTATCTAATGAAACATGGATATTTTGTTTTCCAAATAATCTGGCTGTAAGTATGATCTTTCATATGTATAACACGTTTATGTAAAGCCCTAAATAATTCCTTTAAATTATCGTAACCAGATTCACACCACGGATTTTGATGTTTGCCCCTATTTGTCGAAACTAAAATGCAAGGCCAACAAAAAAGTTTGTTTTTTATTTCACTCCCAGTAAGCCATGAGTACTTGCTGTACCAATTATCTGAAAATGATCTATTACTTCCCTTACCCGCACTAATATTTATAAGTCGGGACATTTTAGGCAAAGGACGCCCCTTATTTTTAATAACAATTTGTTCTTCGTATGGAATTGATGAAAACCCATTATGCAAAATATAATTTACAATATCAGACTTATCAATACTTACAGTTTCTCCCATGGCTTGCATTTTTTAGGTGTTTACTGAATTTGTTTACACTTTAATTAAAAAAAAAACTTCTAATATGTCAAAAAAACCCTTTAACCGTTAAATATTTACGGCAGACGTAACGTATCACAATATTACTTTAGAAAATAAAAATAAATCACAAAAAGATAGGCAAGTTCGTGCACTGAATATAACTTCAGTTTACTACAAAAATGAAATAACATTTCGTCCCACGCTCGCAATGTACAGTTCGCGACCAATCACCAATCCAAATGAAACATCGGCAAATGTAAATCTGCCGGACTTAGTAATTAAGTTCATATGGAAAGAAATGTATATTTGGTTGCTAATCAACCAATATTCCGTTGATTTTTACAAGTAAAGTCAAGGTTGGGATCGGCTAGCCGAAAAAACAAAACGTGCATTTTCAAGAATTCGTAGGCGGATGGATGTCTCCGATATCGGAACATTTATTTGAAAAGTGTCTACGCAAGGATCACTTAACGCTCAGATTGGACGAATTCTTTTAAAAACCATGAATAAAATTTAGTCTTTATTATCTCACAGATATTTTTTTAGTTCACAAAAACAAATGACATCAACTGATTACCTGCCACAATTATTTATTGAAATACTGATTAAATTAAATATTAAAATAATCTATAATATCTATAAAGATGTGGGTCGGCACTTCCGACCCTGCCGCCCCTGACCGGCCGCCACTGGCATGAACGTATTATTATGACGATAGCCAATGCTTAAAAAAATCACGGCACACAAAGAAAAATGAGGTGTTCTCAAGAATACATAGCAACATTGTGATCCATCAACATTGAAAACAACCAACATCGAAAGAAATTTTTGAAGAGAAACCCGTAACTGTTTTGGTGTACATCCTGTATGAAAAATATACATTGTTTTTGTTTACATGCTTCGAATGCAGTTCTTTTTGAGCTTTGCAACGAAGGTTGTTAAGCTTATCTAGTCAATTAGTATTCTAATATCTAGAACTGAGTTGTTTTAAGTTGCTTCACGT